TTATCCAAAAGAACGTATGTAGGGGTATGGCTTGACTAGCAGTTTTAATTGGGTGGTGGCACAGTTGCTTTTCTAGTCTAGGTGGCCTTAAGGGGTTCCAGAAACACTTTTATCTGTAGCTTGGAATTAATCTTACATCAAAATTTGCGTTATGTCTGTAAGTGTCAGCCAATCACTGCTTCTTTTGCTTTTCAACCAATCACCTTTCAAACAGTGACAGTGGCTCAGTTGGTAGAGCACCTGTCCACTGAGCTGAAGGTTGGTGGTTTGAATCCTGCTCTTCACATAAACACCATTGATTGAGCGGTCAGATCCAATGACCCCCATGTTTAGCAGTGCGAATCCAGCTCCCACAGATGAATGCTGTTGTTGTGTCCTTGGGCAAGACGCTTAACCTACCTCATGCCTAATATCTGTGTACATGTACCATATTTTTCGAGCTATAAAGCGCACCAGATTATAAGGTGCAATATCAATAATGCTGAATTCTCTCGTCTATTTTCATACATAAGGCGCACCGGATTACAAGGCACACTAAACAAAACAAACGGACGACATGCGATACTGATCCCTTAGCCCAGGCAGATTGGCGTAATTTTCCCGGCATTGCCTCCCTGTCTTGGTGAATGTGTATTATGAATGTAAATGTGGGTGGATAATTAAAGTTTGTTTTTTAACTTCCCACGAGGAGGACTCGGGGTGTTTAATGCAGCTTTGCGCACATTAGTTTATGTTTTATTGAAATTAAACTTAAAAAAACATGGCTAATTTGCATAAACTATAAGCACTGAAAAAACAGCTCGCTCCTTTGTGCCCTGATGCGGTCAGCTTCTGTCAGTCTAAATCACAGGACTCAGTGAAATATGTGTGTTTTTTTTGTGACAAAGGATGTGCTGCTGATGGTGAATCTGTTCTGTGCTTCTTCTGTGTTGGAGATGGTTCATGTGAAACTTTTCAGAGATTATAAGCCTGCAGGTCATACACATAGACTGTACATATGAATGGACATATATTCTCTGTTGCATTTCATTGATGCCATAAATGCCGACACAGAACTATACTTCGCCCTTTACTCCACGAAGCTCCTGACTACAGTAGCCGTAATGCTCCAACAAGCGGAGCGGCTTCATACCTTACCAAAGTCATACTAAACCATTTTGACAGATTTTTGAGCACCTTGTACCGCATAAAATCAGTTTGAGGTCAGTAAACACAACCAGAATTAATACATAAAACGCACTGGATTATTTAAGGATTTTAAGTGCGCCTTATAATCAGAAAAATACGGTACACGAAAGGGGGTGAGTGGTTCCTGGATGTAAAGCGCTTTGAGTGTCTTGAAGGTCGAAAAGCACTATATAAAAATGTGGCAATTTACTATTCAAAGTATTCAAACATATAAATAATTCACTTTCTCTCCCGTCCATCATTCATATCCATCGCAGCAGCAGAACCATCAGTAACTGCAGCCTCTCCATCTCCTCCTTTTCACCACCACCATGTTGCTTCATTGTAAGGTCATTGTATAACTGATGTCTCTACTTGCCTGGGTCTAAGCACTGACGTTAACAGTTATAGGCCTTGGAGTTTTATAGTGCCTGTCAGTATTCATTCAGTTTGTACGCTTGGTGATTCTGAGCTACTTCCCTACGCTCAGCTGCCCCGGGGCGGACTGATAAAGCTGTGGCTATAACCATCACCCCCAACCACTCCACTGCATTCATACTTGCAGTCTAGGTAAAAAGAGCTGGGATTATCAGAATGAGCTGTTGTCAGCCTGAACTTGATGTATTAATTAGAATCTATTAATTGTTGGGTTGTCAAAAAAAATCAATACCCAGATACTAATTAATCACTCAGGGTGTTGGTTAATGATAATGGTTGACAAACTGGATTGAGCTTTTATGGGATATAGTTTGATTGACTATTGAAACTAAAAAACTAGGAAAATTATATGTTTTTAAATAATCATATCAATCAAAATTGAGTGTTGAGCCTTATTCTTAGTATTGAAATAGATTTATTGAATTTTTGTACTGTGACAGCACTAATTAATTGCAACTCCCACATTTAAAGGGTTCATATTTATGCTATTTTCTGTTCATCAAAAATATATCTGGGGTTGTGTTTTGTTTCATTCACACATGTTTAATGCAGAATTCTTCTCTTAGTCTGAAAACACTCTGTTCCACCTTGTGATGTCATGTGGTAATAGAGGAAATGCTCCAATGTTTTTTTTTACTCTAAACACTGTTAAATTATCATTTGATAATTTCAGACTTGGAATTCCCAATCTCTACTGATTAAAAGATAAAAGGTAGCTATTAACTTGAAAACTAGCACTTCGTGATATCACAAAGGAAAACTTTGGAGATATAGACAGGCTAATAATAAAGGATTACTTAAATATGGATGAATGACAAAACACAACTCCAGGTATGGCAAAGGAGAAATTCAATTTGTAAACTGAACAAAAGTTTATTTTGGTGAGGCAACACCATCATAACATGGCGCAAAACTCACAAGAGTGAGTTTTACGTAATATAGGACCTTTAAGTCTCTCCTACTTCCATTTTGTTCAAACTTCACTCTTAAAACTTAGCCAGGATGTCCGCTCTTCTTACATCTCCACATTTTAGGATTCCACTTGTATTCGCAGTCTCTATGACAGATGAAAACACTCCAGTGGTGAGCTTGTGATTGAACCTGTGTGAACTGTTTGTACTCAGAACAATCTTTTCATCTGTACAGAGCGCTGACCTCTCCTGTTCTAACCCCCTGACAGCTGAGGCATGGTGCAAAAAGCCAAGTAGCCCACAATGGAAAAGCCACTGTCGCTTTTATCTTGTTTTCTCCCCGTCAACTCTGCCCCGTCGAAAGCACTTATTGGAGATTTTGTTTTTTCCTGTAAAAATATGCCATCTGTACCAGCCTTGGACTAGATTCTGACCTTTGAGCATGGCAGTTGGCGCGGAGGTGAGGACAGGTCAAATCCAGTGTTTAACCAGACCTGTCTCCGCGGAGGGAACAATATGCAGCTTTATTTGATGGATGGAAGAGGTTTAATAATGAATGGGAGTTTGGGCCTGGTCTGAGTCTATAGGGGCAGGCTATTGCAGAATATAGAAGGCTTAAGCGGGGTAATAATTTATATAGAGGAGCACAGCATTGTTCACTTGCTGACCTAAACATGGATCAAGCAAAACATTATGACCACTTAACTATTGCTGTAGTTATTTATGATGTTGTTTTCATATGAGTTCCATGTGCAAAAAGTGACATATTAGGATTTCAAGTACAACTGCTTAAAGGTATATTATGCACATGCTTGAATAATCCAATATTATTAGACTGTCTACATCTTCAGATCTCAAAATTCTCCACCTTATGATGTTAGGAAGCAGTAGTTTTCAAGTTAACAGCCACCTTTTACCTTTTGTTGGAAATTTTAGGGCTGGAATTATCCAAAAGCAGATGGAATTTAAAGGGATAGTCTGGAATTTTGGACATAGGACCTCTTTTCCTAGTGAGCCAGAGTGTTGGAGACATGTGGAGACACTTTTTAAAATATTCCATTCAGTCCTTGTATTTGCAGAACTCGCTGGTGCTAGTCTAGCGCATGTCAATGGCCATAGTTAGCCTGCCACTAAAAACAGTATTACCCACTCCACAAAACACCTGAAGCAAATCTATTATTACACTAGACTATTGATGTAAATGTTTGTGTTGATAGAATAATGTTTGAAATAAAACTAACCTTGCATCGCATGAATCGTCGCATGTTGAGGGACTATTTTCTCAGCAGCAGCGGAATTTTACTTTGCCGGTAAGATAGGGGCTATCAGTCCGCCACTGCCAAGCTTTCTGTAAGGAAATACAACTCACGGCCCCTGCTCAGACATAAATCCTTCAAATGCAAGGTTGGTTTTACTTCTAAAATCATTCTAGTGACACAGACATTCACATCGACAGTTTGGCGTAATAATAGATTTGCTTCGGGTGCTTTGTGGAGTGGGTAAGATTGTTTTTAGTGGCAGGCAGGAATATTTTTAAAAAGTGTCTCCACACATCTCCAACACTCTGGCTACTAGGAAATGAGGTTCTATGTCCACAATTCTGGACTGCCCCTTTAAAAAGACAGCGGAGCACTTCCTGTATTACCTCATGACATCTCAAGGTGGTGGGTTTTCTGACTGACAGAAGAACTCTACAGGGTTTGTGTAAGTGAAACAAAACGCAACTCTGGGTATGTTTATGATGAGAAAAGAACATAATAACATAAATCAGAAAATTGGGTAATATGGGTCCTTTAACTGTTCATTGAGTAACGTTTTTACATTTACTGACCAATGCAGAGAACAGCCCATAAAAATGAGTACTCTTATTCCATGGTTTTGCCAATAAAATTCAATACCAAATGTGGTTTGGGCTCCAGTGCTCCAATTTCTGAAAATTACAATAAAATTACATTTTAAATTTAAATTTTCATGTCCAATTGTCTGTAAAATGTTGTTTGTATCTTCAAGGCTGCTGTCATGATTGAAATACTGTTGAAATACTGAAAAATAGAATTTAGAATCACCACTCACTCCTCCACGACTCAGACTCAACCTTTTCTCACACCGGATCAACACTGTCAGTTTTTCACAATTTTAGTCCTGCGAAAGTCTGCAATGTTTTTCAGTCCTCTCTTTATTTATTTTTCCCATGTTTGTTTTGATACCAATGGACCATGCGCTTCTCTGGCTAATCCGTCAGTGAGTCAGAAAAGCGTGGAGTATCTTCCATCAACCCCAGCAACATTGAAGGAAGGATTAAATGTAGAGGACATTTTAAACAAACAGCCTGACAGTTGCTATGATTAAGAGTTCTACTTTACCCATAAATATCAACGTTTATAATAATATTGGCCATAATGTCGAATAAAGTTTTCCTTTTTTGTTGAATTGATTGTTGTATTATGCCCTCTATTTCAGCTGTTCTCTTCTGCTGTCTTACAGGTGAATTTGGGGAAGTGTACAAAGGGAGACTGAAGCCTGTGGGGAAAAAGGAGATCCCTGTGGCCATTAAAACGTTAAAGGTTGGATACTCGGAGAGGCAGAGGCGCGACTTCCTGTCTGAGGCGTCAATCATGGGCCAGTTCGACCAACCCAACATCATCAGGCTGGAGGGCGTGGTCACCAAGAGCAGGCCGACCATGATCATCACAGAGTTTATGGAGAATGGGGCTTTGGATTCTTTTCTCAGGGTAAGAACTTTATTACTTGTGCACATTTGAACTACCATGTGGTTCTTCTATGGGGCAAGACTGTTCTAAACATAGACTGTATATAAACATGGACATAGCTAACAAATAGGAAGTGAGTATGAGCGCTGTTCCGGCTCCATCAACTCTGGCTCCTGTTCACTTCTTTCTCTGTAACTGCTGCTCTCTCAGTCTTAAAATTTTTCGAATTAACCCACTCTACATGATCCTGGTGATTTTATTTAGCTATTTTGCTCATAAACCAAGATATGAACATTAATAGGAGAGAAATTAGGTGTCTTTTTTCCCTGAGATCGCTCAAGTTTGATTGACAACATTGTTAAGTGCCCCCTCCCTGTTAAACCAGCAGTGCAGGCGGGAAGAGGTGTTACCTTCAACAGCCTCGCTCTGGATTGGCTCTTTAGTTGCTATGATACTCATGGTCAGAATTCCAAACATGGAACTTGGCCCTGTAACTACAAGCCTCGGTGAGCTTCATTTGACTGGAGTTGAGCGCTATGGGTGATGTCACGCTCCCTTAGTCCACTTCTGTATACAGTTTATGGGCCTAAAGCTATTCTGTTTTATACTCAGTTTATTTATTTATTTTTTCCAGTATCGATTCTTATTCAAAACAGTATCTAGTTTTTATATTTGTTTTAATATTGATTATTTCACTCCCAGCTTGGGGCAAAATACTTGATATTTCCTGTCTACAATGGTGTGAAAATGTGTTTATGTGGAGAAGTGAGAGGCAGTAATCACTATATGCTGAATCACTCGACTGCAGCCCCCCACACTGTCTGGACCAGTCACTCAGGGCTGGCACAGCAGTTGCACCCAGAAATATGATTAATTATACTTTCAATTTGAAAGTAAATCATGAGATAGTATTAATATTGTAATGTCTCTCTAATTGTCAGTCTTGCAATATTCTGTCCAAAGAGCTTCAAAAAGTCGATGGGCGATGTAACTTTTTGGTTTTGGTCACCTGCTTGTTTCTATGCATATGTTATAGCTCTGCCTGGAATGTTCCACAGTATGAGATTAAACAGCTCTACCTTATACGTATTCAGTTATAGATGGTTTTATAGCTCAAAAATACCCAGAAAAACAAACAATCTGACAGTAAGCAGGGTCGTCTGTCCACAGATCCGATTTCTAACTTGGTCTAGTTTGGGTTCCACAAACGTAGAAAAGGTTTAATACCATACTGTGAGAAGCAATAACATCTCCATGGAGACAAGCAATTGATGGACCCTCCACCAGTAAAGCAACACAACTGTGCCATAAAGATAAAGTTATAGCACATAGTTGTTGTCATGAGAGATACCTGTCCAAGCATCATCATTACCACTGTGCAATGTAGCATTTGTTTGTATCTGAAAGTTTTAGGAAAGATCAAACTAGGAGTTTTCTGACAAGTATTGCAGTTAGAGTTGCAAATTATGTGAGCGATTCTGTTCAAAGTTCAGATTTTAAACTCATCTAGAAAATACTGAAATATGAACTGACAAACTAATACAAAAGGTTTATTTCAGAGCATCTTTGCACAAATCTAAACTACAGGGTTTTAATGCAGAATAATACAGGATATTTTGTTGTTTGTGGAAAGAAATTATGGTACTTCAAAAACTGCATCATGATTTTCTAATTGTGTCCATTTTAACAACAATTTTGATTTGGTTGAGATTAAAGTCATTGTTTAAGGTTCTATATTACACAAAATGGATTGTTATGCGCTTACCTCATCAAAAACATACCTGAAGTTTTGTTTCATTCACACATGTTTGAGTAACCATTTGTTATTAATCTGTATATACCTCTAAAGCTGAAAATACTCAGTTTCACCTTGTCATGTCATGAATCAGTAATTTTCAAGTGAACAGCTCCTTTTACCTTTAGTTCAGGTGAGATTGGCAATTCAGGGGAAATCCTCCAAATGATTCTAGTGAAGATATATTTGTTTAAAATCACAGTGGAGCACTTCCTATTATTATCACATCACAACGTGGAAGAGAGTGTTTTCTGTTTAAGAGGAGAATTGTGTTAAACATGTGTGAATGAAACAAAACCCAACTGCAGGTATGTTTGTGATGAGGAAACAACATTATAACATAGATAAATCATAAAATACTGTAATATAGGCACTTTAAATATCATAAACAGAGGAGCTCCTAATAGGAAAATAGCTTAGCAGAAGTTTGCATTGCGTCGCTGTCCTTGCCTCCTGCCCCTCTGCTGCCTGTCTATCTCTCCGTCTGTCTCTTTGATCCTGGCCTCCTTTTCCGAGCGCCTCTAAAAACACCCAAACTGTTTGATGTGGATTCTCACAGCAGGGCCTCTTTTTAACTCTAAAATCATCCTCTGCTGACTCATCTTCGCGCGTAACAACGCCGTGATCGATCGAGGTGGTGAGGCTGCCCTGATGTGACCAAGCAGCCACTGGATCAATGAGAGCGTTTGTGGTGGTGACTCCGGAGAAGGTTTAGCCTGCAGAGGATTAGGACATGTGCTTCAAAGGGACAGCCAATGGACACACACTCCGCCAGCTGTGTCAGGGGAAAAAGCAGCGGTTTGGAAGAGAGTCTGAAGGTGAAAAAGTAACATTAGAAGTTGTTTTAGATCAATAATTCAGTAGGGAGGCTCATAATATGTGTATAAATAAATAAGGAAGTTAAATGTTTTTTGAAGGTAGGAAACTAACCACAATCTATGTTTTAGTATGTTTCTTCATCGAAAATATACCTGAAATTGTGTTTTGTTTCATTCACATGTGTTTAACACACAAGCCCTGCATATTTAGGCTATGTTCTTCTCTCAACCAGAAAACACTCCACCTTGTGATGTCATGTGGTAATACAGAAAGTGACTGTAATTTTAAACTCCATACACCTTCACCAGAATCATTTGAATAATTTCAGCCCTGGAATTACCAATCTCTACTGAACAAAAGGATAAAAGGAAGCCATTAACTTAAAAAAAATAAAAATAATTATAGCTTCGTGACATCACAAGCTGGAAGAGAACATTTCGATTTTTGGAGATGTAGATAGATTACCGGTAATAATAAAGGATTACTCAAACAGATGTGAATGAAACAGAACACCCCAGGTATGATTTTGATAAGGTGACATCATTCTAACATGGCTTAATGTCAGTTTTGTGTAATATAAAACCTTTAATCTCTAATATTCTTGGCCGTGTTCACACTTGTTTTGGTTTAATCATGACTGATATAGAATCTACTTCTGCTATAGTCCAGGTTGAGTTACAGGTTTAGACTGAGTTTCCCCTGCATTTCCATTGAAAGTGACTTAGACAGACTTTAATGATCCACAAGGGAAATTATTTAGACAGGAGCTCACACATTACAAAATATTAACAAAGAGCAAATGGACGGTAATAGCATTCAAATTACAACATAATTAAAGTAGCAATAATAACACAAAGACAAATGATACAGATGTGTACATGGACAAGTAGAATATGAAAAAAAAATCTTTTATCCATTAGAAAAATAGTTGTAAAAATATGGAGTATGGCATGAATGTAGGCGGTATGACTGCATGTGCTTAGTGGTTGAGCAGTCATTCAAAAAAAGGATTTTAGGTTCAACCCTCGCTCAGCCAAATCATTTTCTCGACTTTGTCTGCTGTTAATAAAAGGAAAATTAATAGATTTTTCTTGTTCTTGCTCTTCACTTTTCCTTTTCTATGGCAGCAGTTAGATTAACACAGCTCTATTAGCTCAATTAGCTGATAAAGAGTGACACACTTAACATTTATTCTCACATTAATTCGTATTGGGTAATTATAACCTAGAATATAGTTATCTCACATTTAATATATTCCTTAATAAAGAATAGACCTGTACAAATGTAAGTGGCTAATACACAGTAACTAGAAGGCACAATACTTTGTGTCTATTTAAAACTTTGGTATCTACGTTTAGTGTCTTAAATTTGTCAAATAAAGTTTAATCAAATCCCTCAGAGATTATATAGTAAAGGCAGAACTGTGACAAAATCAGACCTGATATCCAGAAATGTTATTCTTGTATTAATTTGTCAGTTCATATTTGAGTTTTCATTTTGTGAATTATTCCGTGCATGTTTAAAATGTGAACAAAATCTTATGATCCGTATATACACCCAAATGCAGCCCTAGATGACGGTCCACCCCTGCTTTGCTTCTCCATCTGATAAATGTAATATAGGACCTTTAAATACTTCCTTCTTTCACAGTCTGATAATCATGTACCCCATCTTTAATTTGTGTATCTGTTTCTTATCCATAAACCACGCCCTAACAATAACAGAAGGGCATACAGTAGAAGTGAATCATCGCTTTCAATAATGCAAATAGACTCACTCTGTAACATAAAACAGTCTGCAGTCAGCGTTGTGCAAAATATATGAATTACTGAGTTTTCTGCCTCAGTGTCTCTACATAACCAAGGTGAAAATGTCTGATATGTGAGCGTAATATTAATCCGTTCACGGTTTGTGCCTCTGCAGCAGAATGATGGGCAGTTCCCAGTGATCCAGCTGGTTGGTATGCTGAGGGGCATCGCTTCTGGGATGAGGTATGCACCCACCATTTTATAATCCTCTTTCTATCAAAAAGAGAGAGGAGTTTTTGTCTAATCTATGTTTTGTACCACACGTGAGACGCATAAAGTCAGTTGTGCAATTGGAAATTGACAAAGAGCAAACAATGTAAGGTAAAGTGTTAAAAGATCAATACTATTTTCTGATCTATGTAATTATGTTGTTTACTCATCAAAAACATACCTGTAGTTGTTTTGTTTCATTCACACGTTTAACACACATTCTGCATATTTAGTTCTTCTTTCAAACAGAAAACACTCTGTTCCACCTTGTGATTTCATATGGTAAAACAGGAAGTGCTCCTCTGTGTTTTTAAACTCCATACACCCTCACTAGAATCATTTGGATGATTTCAAACTTGGAATTACCCACCTCTATTGAACTGAAGGTAAAATGTAGCTGTTAGCTTGAAAACTACCACTACATAACATCACAACTTGAAACAGAGCATTTTGAGCTTTGGAGATTTAAGACAGGATTACTCAAACATTTGTGAATAAACCAAAACACAACTCCAGGTATGTTTTTTGATGACCAATGCAGGTGATTACACACAACGAAGATTGAGCGATATACGCACTATCCTTCAGCTTTGGATCACTTCCTTTTAATAACATCATTTTCATTAGCTATGTTTGGATGCTGCAATATCAATGCAATATTCACACAATTATTAATGATATCGAGCGAATCAGACGGTTTCCACGAAGTGAAATCGGCTAATGAATCAGGCTACTGTCATCTGCTTTTTTCTATGGATATGCCATTGTTCTGTCCCAGGAATGTTCCACAATATGACATTAAACAGATCTACCTTACATTTATTCAATTACTGATTGTTTTATAGTTCAAAAATACTTAGAATCTCCACAGATCTGACCTGTAACTTAGTCTAGTTTGATCTTCGTGAAGATAGAAAGGTTTAATATCATACTGTGAAACATTCCAGACAAAGCAATAACATCTCCATAGTGAAAAGCATTTGACGGACCCTCCACCAGAAAAGTTACATAATGCACCTTTAATATTTTTAAGCGAGATTGATACAATAGTTTAACAGAAGGCAGCTTTTTTCTCAAACAAAACGTGACACCTGAGAATACATTTAAAATAAAGCTTTATGTCAAACATCCAACTCTTCCTAGCAGACAGCTTCCCTCCACTATCACTACAACGCCACAACACATCCTTCTGCTATTATCTGTATTTTGTTGCAGGTAACAAGCCCAGATAACACACATTCATGTAGGGGAACAGCCATTTAATCCTTTTCTATTTTGCTCAGGTCTGGACTGTGATAACACACTAAATGCTATTGCCTTTTCTTTTTTCACCAGCTGATAACGCTCACTCTTGTTGTTTTTGCAGGTACCTGGCAGAGATGAGCTACGTTCACCGTGACCTAGCTGCTCGTAACATCCTCGTCAACAGTAACTTGGTGTGTAAAGTGTCTGATTTCGGTTTATCTCGCTATCTGGAAGAAGACACCTCGGACCCCACCTATACGAGCTCGCTGGTCAGTGCACAAACTAATGCATTTTCAAGTGGACAGGCTGCAGCAGTGGCGCCCTAATGATGATAGGTTGCATATTGGTTGCTATGGTGATTTTAATAATGGGAAAGGGCGGGCAGTGTCATAAATATTCATTATACAAGAACACAGCTGTTACTTTTAACAAAGGGCCCGTTGGACAGTTGAGGACACAAAAGATGGACTTCAAATGAAATGGTGCAGTCTGGAGCTCTAAATGAGGCGGGCGACTGTTAGGAAAAAGTGTAATGAAAAGTGTATTCATCTCGGTCTGAGCCGCACTGTTAAGGATACATACAGTATTTTTCATGTCTGCTAGCATGATTTGGGCTTTTGCCTCGTAGCAAATTGAGTTATAATTTAGAACAGACCAAAAATATATGTTTTAGGGGTGCACATATAATCTATTTAGACTGAATTTTCTACATTGTATTTAAGGGGCACTATGGGCATTAGGTAAGTTTTAAGTTTTAAAACCTTATATTGTCCATGGAGGTGTTGTTTTGCATTGAAGGTCCCACAATTTAGCAATCTCCATGGAGACAAGCAGGTGACACCTCCAAACCCAGTAGTTTTGCGCAATACAAATTCCTGTAATTGAATAAATGAAAGATAAATTTAAATCATACTGTGGAAGGTTCTAGGCAAAGCAACATTTTCATGAGACAGTCAAGTGGCAGACTCTTCATCAGAAAACGTCTTTAATATATTATAAACATTTACATTTCAGTTTTGGATTTAAGTGTATTTTTGACAAGTTTAAGTGTATCATCAATTGTATACTGTAATAATTTTTCTATGCAATTTAGTTAAACAGTATATACATACTAAATTGAATACTTTTAGCATATTATAACATAGATACTTTTAATCGATGAAAACTGTCAAAAATATATTTATATAAATATGAACTACACTTTTTAGTTTTGTTTCAGTGTTTGCATATGTTATGTTTCAATATCCATGGTCCCCAATGGCCCAATTACCCTACATAATCAGTTCTATTACAGATAAACATTACAGGCATACTATATGTGTGACTATACTTTTATGAAAAAGTATAGTGTAAAGTGTATTCATATTGGTTGAACATGCAATATTTTAATGTGTTTAATGTGTGGTTTTTTGTTTTTTGGTTTGGTTTGAGTTTTTTTTTTTTTTTTTATAATAATATAATCTTTTCTACTATATACATTTACATTTCACTTTGATGTAAGCGAAAGTTCAATGGTAATGGTAAATTCAGTGGTAGGAGTAGGAGCAGTAGGAGTAGGAGTAGAGTAGGAGTAGGAGTAGGAGGAGGAGGAGGAGGAGGAGGAGGAGGAGGAGGAGTAGTAACAGTAGGAGTGTAGTAGTAGTAGTAGTAGGGGGAGGAGAAGGAGCAGAAGTAGTAGTAGGAGGAGCAGTTGTGGTAGTAGTAGGAGGAGTAGCAGGAATAGTAGTAGTAGTAGTAGTAGAAGGAGTAGTAGGAGTAGTAGCATTAGTAGTAGAGTAGTAGCAGGAGGAGTAGCAGGAGGAGGAGGAGCAGGAGTAGTAGAAGTAGTAGAAGTAGTAGGAGTAGTAGGAGTCTTTCAATATCAGTGACCCAGTTACCATACATTGTCCATTCTACTATACAAAAATATTACACGCATACGATTTCGTGACAAGTTATTACTGGATAAGCTCGTAGAAAAAAGGTACAGCTAAGTCCAGTATATCCTATGATAAAAAGTACAAACATTATCGTGTCCTTGTCCGAGCAGTCTTTCAATTGTGCCTTCTCTTTAAATTGCCACTTTGTCTTTATTACTTAGTGGGAGGACAGCTGTGTTACCTTATGCTATCCATTTCCTCATCTATAAAACATCTGCTTCCTCTTTCTACCTCCTAACTTTAATCCCTGTCATGTACAAGTATTAGTATTTAAAGCAACATCAGCCACCCACAACATTATAAATTATCTCTCCTTTTATGACACTGTATGGCTGATAGATAGATTTTGACCTGGCTTTGACCTATTATACTAGCTAGCTGTAGGCAGGTGAGTTTTTAATCTGTTTTCGTTTATGGTCTTGCTTGTAGGGTGGTAAAATCCCCGTGAGGTGGACAGCTCCGGAGGCCATCGCGTACAGGAAGTTTACCTCAGCTTCAGACGTGTGGAGCTACGGCATCGTCACGTGGGAAGTCATGTCCTATGGAGAGAGGCCCTACTGGGACATGAGTAACCAGGATGTAAGTCAGAAATGTTATTCAACTAAGCTCAGCTGGTTAACTGTTTACTGGTTGTTGTTTAATAGACTACTGCTTGATCACAATGGAAAGATATCTAATTTGGATATATCTGAAATGCATTCTAAAGTTACATACGTTTTAAACAAGTATTTGGAAGAAAAAAGCTGACAAATTATGCAAAATCATGCACCTTCTACTTGCTTGCACAATTTTCCCTCCGTTACTTTCCCTCGTTACCATGACCTTTCTTAATAAAAAATCTCATTACTCAAAAAGTAAGAGGTTTTTCAATCTAATCTTGTACCATATGGTAGAAAACTAGATTAAGCAAATATTCAAACCAGTTTGTTAAGGATATGTAAGTGAGAACCGGTAGTTATCACTGTTTGTATTTATTGCCCAAAAAGTGCTGCATATTTCATTCCCTCCGTTACTGACATGAGTTTTTAAATTTTTTGTCAACAACTTGAAAGAATATTGCAGGTTTAACTTTACCCTTTTGGAGTGTTAATTCTTTCCTACATTCTAATACTTACTTATTTCAATAGTCCCTCTAGTTTCTGAATAAGAATGTAAAAAATCTGCCCCTGTTTCCCTCCGTTACCGCTTGACCTGACCCTAAGGCTACGTTCAGACTGCAGGGCTTAACGCTCAATTCGGATTTTTTTGTGAAATCTGATGTTTTTGCGAGGTCGTTCACATTTCCAATTAAATGCGACTTGTATGTGACCTCCAGTGTGAACAGTAAATGGCCCAAAAGTGTCCCGCATGCACACTGGAGGACACGACGATGTCAACCACAGCGAGCGTGCTCTGTGTTTACGGAAGTTGTCCAAACATGGACGCGAGCATTGAGCACCTGGTGATTTTAAAGTTCCTCTCCTACCGGAGCCAGAACATGTACAACTTAATTGTTTTAAGGAGGAGATTGAGAAGGTGAAGGATGAGTTTTTTTGGCCGTGGCGTTTTGTGGGACAGTAACAGCGACGTCCGTTGAAAGGAACGTGTGGATGTGGAGACGTGGCCAAGAGTGGTGAGTGGTGATGCGCTTCAGTGACACGGAGTTCATTAACAATTTTCGCCTACTCCAGCGCAGAATAGTGACGTTTGTGGCTTGTTGATAACGTGTGGGTCGGATGAATGCGCTTTGGCCGTTCAGATTGAAGTCGCATGTCAAAAGATCAGATATGTATCGGTTTCAGGACCACATATCCAAGTGGACTGGGTCACATTTGAAAAAATCGGAACTGTATTGTTCAGACATTAAAAGATCAGATACAGGTCGCATAGAGGCCAAAAAAATTGATTTGGGTCACTTCAGGCTGCAGTCTGAACGCAGCCTAATACATCATCTCCTACCTATTGTTTGATATAAATGGACAAGTAAACATATAGAAAGGATGCTGAAATATTACTGAGTTTCAAATGATAAATATGACCAGTAATATTTAATAATAATATAAGATGAGCTAAAATTAATATTGTTAAAATGCATTTTTTCATTTACTATAGTGAGTTCCCAGGTCTAGTCACAGGTTCAACATGTGTTAACCCTGTAGATATTTCTTATGAAAGTACAAATACTAATCAGTAGGAAGAACTGGCTGTTGCCCTGCATCTGGGATTATCACATTGTAGAATCAAAAAAACACCTATAAGCTTTTAAAATAATCCAAAAATACTATGTATTTTTACAGGTTTAGACCCCATAGAGGCAAAGAGATGTATTACTTAGTAGCAGACATATTCCCTAAAAACTGCTCTTTCTCATTTTGGCCATTTTAAATTTCAATTTAGTTACTATTAATCTTACAATCCACCAACAACCAACAGTTCCAGTTGTGAACATTTAAATTTGGAATCCAAGTTTTGGTTGGTTTGGTTCCAAACTGCAGTGAAGAGATTTTTACTCAAGTAGCAGCATCTCAATTTGAGACATTTGCCCACCAACCAAAATCTTTGACTCGCACTACTAGTAATGCCACCCATTACATATGCTATTTGGTTGATGTTAGGAAATGTATATATTTTAATAAGTCAAATAAATCATATACGTATGTCTCTTCTTTAATTTGTGTTTAACCTGCAAGTCAATTGCATTAGTTGTTTGAGTAGACCTCTGTTAGAGCAGTAGTGGCTCAGTTGGCAGAGATTTCAACTTGAGATCCAAATGTTGCATCTCGTTTGATCTGTCATTGTGTCTTTTGGCAAAACACATTAAGCATCTTGTCTCCAGTGTTTGTCTGCATGCACTGGTGAAAAAACGTGTGTGAATGGGTGCATTTCTTGATGTAAAGTGCTATAAGTATCCAAAAGAGGTGTTAAAAAGCAGAATAAATTAGGATAATATAGGCTACTATTTTATCACGTATTAGTAACAAGTAATGCATTTCCGTACATTTTTACTATCTTTGAAATATCAACAGTTCTGGTGCAAACTTATGCCAACAATTATAAGATGCTCCTGGAATGACTCCAACATGGCGAACTCGGATTGTCCCAAATGTCTCGAGATGGAGTGTTTTCCTCTTGTATTCTCTGACAACAGTAAAAGATTGTGCACATTTATCCCACCCTGGTCCCTGGAGGCTCTGTGTGATGTCAGCCTGTGCGTGGAGGGGCTACGCTTGTTTGCTTCCCTTCCTGGCTGTCGCAGTGGGGGGTCCGCATGTCTAGGAACGCGCACACAAAACGAGACCATCAATTTCACTGCAGAAATGTTTGTTCACTCACAAATCAGCCCAAGAGGAAATGTACTGTTTTCCGCCGCTTTTTTCTTTGAGGAATGTTTGTCTTTGAGGACAACTGAATTCCAATTACTTCCTGAGGTCAAAAGGTCACAAAGGCAAAATGTTATGTTCTATACAAATCAATAGGCAGTACAGTGATGTGACCTTATTGATAAAATAATACATTACTTAAAGGGCCATGTCAACTGACCATGTTATAACAGTGTTTCCTCATCATTCGGTAAGTTAGAGTCATGTTTTGATTGATTCATGCACATAAATGGTCATGGTCATATTTTTTATATAGCTTTCTTCCACCTTCAAGGCACTTTACAACTAGGAACCACTCAGCCATTCACACACACATTCATACACCAGTGTATGCAGACACTGGGGGCAAGGTGCATCAGATCACTCTATTAATGATGGTTAGATTGAGAGCGGGATTCGAACCGCCAGTCTTTAGATCAGTAGACAAAATACTCCGTCTTGTTTTGTTGCCTCCATGTTTGAGTAATCTTACATTTGAGGCTTGAGTGCTCATAAAATGTGTGTTTTTCACCTTCTCCCAATCTCCACCCACTGTTCTGTTACTTGACATTGTTCAAACAATTCAAACTCAGTGTCAGACATGTAGGGTTCAAAATCTGCTACCTGCTACCATGAAATGTAACTATGTAGAAAGGGGGCTCTCAGCTCTGCAGTTTGCAATAAGCCAGTGGACCTGTTTTTAGTATCAGTACTGAACTGCGGTGTATTCCCTAACTACAGAGCTACAGCCGCCCCAGTGTTGACCTGTGTCTGGAACTTTGATGACAATACTTTGTCTTCCACTGTGGAGAGAAAAGAGGTCTACATGAAAAAATAGGTCCTTCAATGGGATTTTGGACATTTTTTTATTTTAGTGTTTTATTCTCAGACAAATGTGATGCTCAGATTACATTTGGATTTGGCACTAAACCCACTTCAAAGCAGCCAGCCCGTAAATCCCACTCTCTTCAGTCTCAAAATATATCTATCGGCTTTCACACAGAGGACTCAGGGAATTTTTACAAGCTTAAGTTTGAACTTAAAAATGAATTTGGCTCCGAGGATGATCCACCAAAACCTTTCTGACAGCAGCAGCACTACTTCTCCATTTTCCATTGTGTCAGGTGTTACATACTGCCTTTGTGTCCTTGGGCAAGACACTTAACCGATCTCAACTCCAGGGTATTAGTTGATGTCCATGGAGTTAGAAAAGTATTATTTTTCTCTCCCTCTGTAAAAAATATCCACAAAAAACACTCAAATCAGTCTTATTCACTCTGAGTTTTACTGCTTCAGTGCAGTATAGATAAAATACACGGCATGTATTTTTTTATTTCCAGAAAAAAATAATACTGTCTCCACCTGTCAGCGTTCACTATGGTGCGATAACATGAGTGTTTGTTTGGGAGACATTCAGGGCATGACCCTCCTGGAGGGGAGCCCAGGGCTCACTCAGCACCTGCAGCTCAGAGACTGTGTCAGAGCTCAGACTGTACACTTCCTGCTGCACTGCAGTCCAAAGAGAGATGGGAGAATGGACAACTTTTCAACTTTATCTGACTCTCTCCCCAATCCCAGAAAACCCCAAATATACAGATAGATGCTGCAACTCGTATATGGTTTTCTTATCATATATAGAACAATTGTAGAACTTTTCAATAACTTTTGTTCTGCTGTGTAGAGTATAGTTTATGGTGGCACTTGTTTTATTGCTGTCTGGATTTAGTGTACTTTGACTTGAAGAAAAGTTTCTTTTTAGTTGTGGTTGAGTGCTGAATTTGCCCTGTTTATAGCCATTTTAGTCTTTGAGTCTTGGTTTATATGTTAAAAGCCCTTTACCCCATTTTGAACCATGAGTGAAGAACATGTGTCAGAATTAACTCTTTGCCAGGTCATCACTGTAAATGAGAATTGATTCGACCTACATCAATAGATAGATAGATAGATTGATCATACCGACCTCTCTGGGGATAGTCACATGTAGTTGTTTCCACTTGGTTCTTCACCAATGAATGTTTTTACACACAGGCTCCTTACTCAAGCTAGTGCCCTGACTTGGTTTATTTCCTGTGTTGACCCAATTTGGTCCCTAGTCAATAATGTTCTTTGCACTAAAAGCTTAAAGGTGCACTATGTAACTTTTTGGTTAGGGGTCTGTTATCTGCTTGTTTCTATGGAGATGCAGGGGGTCCTCCACCTGCTTGTTTCTAGTCACTGCTCTGCCTGAAATGTTCCATAGTA